ATCGGGATCTGATGTCAGGGTGAGAAAATAGCAAATGCTTGTCCAAATTTATCCCGAAAATATGAATCTGTCAGCACGAGCAGATTTTGAGATATGATTTTTTTGATATCTTCATCCCTATTTTGACACCCTCTGACGGCCCATCGGGATCTGATGTCAGGGTGAGAAAAATAGCAAATGCTTGTCCAAATTTATCCCGAAAATATGAATCTGTCAGCACGAGCAGATTTTGAGATATGATTTTTTTGATATCTTCATCCCTATTTTGACACCCTCTGACGGCCCATCGGGATCTGATGTCAGGGTGAGAAAATAGCAAATGCTTGTCCAAATTTATCCTGAAAATATGAATTTGTCAGCACGAGCAGATTTTGAGATATGATTTTTTTGATATCTTCATCCCTATTTTAACACCCTCTGACGGCCCATCGGGATCTGATGTTAGGGTGAAAAAATAGCAAATGCTAGTCCAAATTTATCCTGAAAATATGAATTTGTCAGCACGAGCAGATTTTGAGATATGATTTTTTTGATATCTTCACCCTTATTTTAACACCCTCTGACGGCCCATCGGGATCTGATGTTAGGGTGAAAAAATACCAAATGCTAGTCCAAATTTATCCTGAAAATATGAATTTGTCAGCACGAGCAGATTTTGAGATATGATTTTTTTGATATCTTCACCCTTATTTTAACACCCTCTGACGGCCCATCGGGATCTGATGTTAGGGTGAAAAAATACCAAATGCTAGTCCAAATTTATCCTGAAAATATGAATTTGTCAGCACGAGCAGATTTTGAGATATGATTTTTTTGATATCTTCACCCCTATTTTAACACCCTCTGACGGCCCATCGGGATCTGATGTTAGGGTGAAAAAATAGCAAATGCTAGTCCAAATTTATCCTGAAAATATGAATTTGTCAGCACGAGCAGATTTTGAGATATGATTTTTTTGATATCTTCACCCTTATTTTAACACCCTCTGACGGCCCATCGGGATCTGATGTTAGGGTGAAAAAATACCAAATGCTAGTCCAAATTTATCCTGAAAATATGAATTTGTCAGCACGAGCAGATTTTGAGATATGATTTTTTTGATATCTTCACCCTTATTTTAACACCCTCTGACGGCCCATCGGGATCTGATGTTAGGGTGAAAAAATAGCAAATGCTAGTCCAAATTTATCCTGAAAATATGAATTTGTCAGCACGAGCAGATTTTGAGATATGATTTTTTTGATATCTTCACCCCTATTTTAACACCCTCTGACGGCCCATCGGGATCTGATGTTAGGGTGAAAAAATAGCAAATGCTTGTCCAAATTTATCCCGAAAATATGAATCTGTCAGCACGAGCAGATTTTGAGATATGATTTTTTTGATATCTTCACCCCTATTTTGACACCCTCTGACGGCCCATCGGGATCTGATGTTAGGGTGAGAAAATAGCAAATGCTTGTCCAAATTTATCCCGAAAATATGAATCTGTCAGCACGAGCAGATTTTGAGATATGATTTTTTTGATATCTTCACCCCTATTTTGACACCCTCTGACGGCCCATCGGGATCTGATGTCAGGGTGAGAAAATAGCAAATGCTTGTCCAAATTTATCCCGAAAATATGAATCTGTCAGCACGAGCAGATTTTGAGATATGATTTTTTTCATATCTTCACCCCCATTTTAACACCCTCTGACGGCCCATCGGGATCTGATGTTAGGGTGAAAAAATAGCAAATGCTAGTCCAAATTTATCCTGAAAATATGAATTTGTCAGCACGAGCAGATTTTGAGATATGATTTTTTTGATATCTTCACCCCTATTTTGACACCCTCTGACGGCCCATCGGGATCTGATGTTAGGGGGAAAAAATAGCAAATGCTTGTCCAAATTTATCCCGAAAATATGAATCTGTCAGCACGAGCAGATTTTGAGATATGATTTTTTTGATATCTTCACCCCTATTTTGACACCCTCTGACGGCCCATCGGGATCTGATGTCAGGGTGAGAAAATAGCAAATGCTTGTCCAAATTTATCCCGAAAATATGAATTTGTCAGCACGAGCAGATTTTGAGATATGATTTTTTTGATATCTTCACCCCTATTTTGACACCCTCTGACGGCCCATCGGGATCTGTTGTCAGGGTGAGAAAATAGCAAATGCTTGTCAAAATTTATCCCGAAAATATGAATCTGTCAGCACGAGCAGATTTTGAGATATGATTTTTTTGATATCTTCACCCCTATTTTGACACCCTCTGACGGCCCATCGGGATCTGATGTCAGGGTGAGAAAATAGCAAATGCTTGTCCAAATTTATCCCGAAAATATGAATCTGTCAGCACGAGCAGATTTTGAGATATGATTTTTTTGATATCTTCACCCCTATTTTAACACCCTCTGACGGCCCATCGGGATCTGATGTTAGGGTGAAAAAATAGCAAATGCTAGTCCAAATTTATCCTGAAAATATGAATTTGTCAGCACGAGCAGATTTTGAGATATGATTTTTTTGATATCTTCACCCCTATTTTGACACCCTCTGACGGCCCATCGGGATCTGATGTTAGGGGGAAAAAATAGCAAATGCTTGTCCAAATTTATCCCGAAAATATGAATCTGTCAGCACGAGCAGATTTTGAGATATGATTTTTTTGATAACTTCACCCCTATTTTGACACCCTCTGACGGCCCATCGGGATCTGATGTCAGGGTGAGAAAATAGCAAATGCTTGTCCAAATTTATCCCGAAAATATGAATCTGTCAGCACGAGCAGATTTTGAGATATGATTTTTTTCATATCTTCATCCCTATTTTGACACCCTCTGACGGCCCATCGGGATTTGGTGTTAGGATGGAAAAATAGCAGATGCTTGTCGTAATTTGTCCTGAAAATATGAATTTGTCAGCACGAGCAGATTTTGAGATATGATTTTTTTGATATCTTCACCCCCATTTTGACGGCCCATCGGGATCTGATGTTAGGGTGAAAAAATAGCAAATGCTTGTCCAAATTTATCCCGAAAATATGAATCTGTCAGCACGAGCAGATTTTGAGATATGATTTTTTTGATATCTTCACCCCTATTTTGACACCCTCTGACGGCCTATCGGGATCTGATGTTAGGGTGGAAAAATAGCAAATGCTTGTCCAAATTTATCCCGAAAATATAAATCTGTCAGCACGAGCAGATTTTGAGATATGATATTTTTGATATCTTCACCCCTATTTTGACACCCTCTGACGGCCCATCTGGATTTGGTGTTAGGATGGAAAAATAGCAAATGCTTGTCGTAACTTGTCCTGAAAATATGAATCAGTTAGCACGAGCAGATTTTAAGATATGATTTTTTTGATATTTTCACCCCTATTTTGATACTTTCTGACGGCCTATCGGGATCTGGTGTTAGGATGAAAAGATAGCAAATGCTTGTGGTAATTTGTCCTGGAAATATGAATCTGTCAGCACGAGCAGATTTTGCGATAATACCTGTTTCTTTTTATATCTTCAACTCTATATATTTTGACTCCCTCTCACGGCCTATTGGAATCTGGTGTTAGGGCGAAAAAGAGCAAATACTTGTCTCAGTTTGTCCCTAAAATATGAATTTGTCAGTACAAGCAGATTTTAGAATATATTTTCCTATATTTCCGACGCCACTGGCCGTTCGGTAGTTTCCGGAAGTTTTGGAGGCTATCTTAAGAGGCTAATTTCACACCGGTCCGATTGCACCGTCTCTCTTAACTGAGGCTTAACGATAACTATCCCTTAAATTGACAGTTTTGCATGGGAAAATGTCACTTTAAGGAATAGTTATCTTTAAGCCTCGGTTAAGAGAGACGGTGCAATCGGGCATTAGTGACAGATCCAGGCCAGCAATATGAATTGCGAAAATGAATCCTAAACGCTATGTCAAAGGAACTAGATTCCCATCGAAAAAAGTAATCTGCAGGCAGCGCTGGCTGAAAACTCTAAAGACTCCTGAGGCCTTATTCTTGAAACAGGGGAGCAGCGTTCCCAGGAGAACGAGTGCTCCGTCTTTGTTACTTATATTATCAGCTGCATATCGTTGAGAAAGACGGAACACTCGTTCTCCTGGGAACGCTGCTCCCTTGTTTCAAGGATAAGGACCCAGATTGGTGGTCTTCAAAATCAACTTACGCTTTGAAGGAAATCGGAGAGCACAATTAGCTATCTAAGAATAGTTCATAATATTCAACACTGGAAAATATAATCACTCAAGGAGATCACCAGACGAATTGGTCTCATCTGGATGGAGCAATGGAGCGAGCTTTGCTATGGAACGTGACTGGACCGAAAACTTTTAAATTCCTCGATGTTGAGATTTGACTTATGGAGTCTTCTACATTACCAACTCGCGATATGCTGTAAAGAATTTAAGTTAAAATTTGCAGATAAATCTATTTTATTTTCTCTACCTACAGATCCAAAAAAAAAGTGAAAATCTCTTCAGAAAAAAGTTTTTTAAGGTGTCACTCGTAGGTGATCTAATATCTAATTCTCGTAATATGGGCGGGTTTCCAGAACGGAATTAATCTTTAAAGGTGGACTAAAGTCACAAAAAAAAAATCAATCGATATAGGCAAACTTCATTACCTACCTATATCCTGTATGATTGAAAGCTACCTAGATATCAAGGTTGGTTTCTTTTCTTTTCAAATAAAAACTTTTTATATTTCACAGTGAATATGTAGGAAAAATTACAGCAACTGAGCAACAGTGTCGTTATGCGATACGAAATTAAACAAAATATTCCACCAATATTCAGTTATGTCATGATAAACCATGGCAAGATGAAGATTTTCCATGTATTAGGTAGGTATATCTGGAGACGTTTCGATTAGACATAGAACAATTAATTTCTCTAAGCTGAAAATATTATAATCCAAAGGGAATTATATTTTATCCACCACACTCAAGAGCTGATTTGGAAAAACACAATTTATTATTCCCAAAATAAATAATCCCAATGTTGGTTCAAACCTGGAGTGAGTCGACAACGTTATCAGTCAATAAAGCCCTTCAAACAAATAGGTTTGTGTAATTACTTTGAAAGTTAATTAAATAATGACGTATTAGGATATATAGGAACTAATTATCTTTGCTTTGTCTAAATAATAAATATAGTAATCGCGGATTATCACATATACTTATTATTATTGTTACATCAATCATATTTTTATGAATAATACATAAAGATTTTCAGATCATTAAAAACGAGTTTTGGAGAATTTGAAATTTAAACACGAGAATAAAAATCACATGTGTAGGTACCTAATACTTACTTGATTGATCCTAGAATAAATAAACTAAATTTATATTAATTATATTTGATTCTGGCACCTAATTAACTATGATTCAATTTCGTCATAGATTTTTTAGGCAGAATGTGATTTACATTGTTTGCACAATTATTAACAAGACAATAAATAGAATGCAAAATTTGAGTCCTTCATGAAAGTTATGATAAATAAAAAATTGAAAATCCAGATTATTCCAAAACTATAAGTTGAATTTGAGCTTTTATTACAATAATTGTTGTTACAATGAGCAGTACATAAGGTACCTAAGTATTATATTCCCTTATCTATGTCCGCCTTATTAGTACAGGTTGTGTCCAAATGTATCCAGTATTAGCCATTGAACAAAAAGCATTGTAATAACGTCCAGGGGCCCTACAAAATGACCATTCTGGACACTTGCAACGAAAAAGACTCTGAAATTCTTCTTTGCAAATTTCGTTCCACCAACAAGTCCTCTAAAAAAAAGAGATTTGAAATAAAATTTAAACCAATTGAATTAGCACAAATTAATTAATCGATCTACCCTACTTACTAACCTCCGTCAAGTATCCTTGAACTGAACTATCCGTGCTCCGTTTTAGTAAAACTCCACTGTCCGCCTTATTTTCGAAGACTAATACATAAACCAGGCAGAACTGAAAATATTATTATTTCAAAATAATTTAAAGAAAACAAGAAAAATTATTTCATTAGGTACACACCTGTAGCAGTATTTTGAACATGATCTCTACCTCCCTTGCTAGAGGGGAGATGAATGCAGCGTTTCGTAAGACATTTTACTTTAATATTTCTTGTGTTGCTTTTATAATAATAATAATTGCTCTTACTTTAAAATGTATTCGAGCCAAAGGAAAGTTACTTACATGGTAACACTCCTAGGCTTTGGAAAAATCCATAGTAGTGCCAGGGTTTGGGAAATTTTGCATACACAGCGACATCTTTTGGTTGGTCAAAATTGGAATCATTGACCCAGAGAATGAACATATTTATTTACCACTTGAGGAGACGCTTTGCCACACAGATTTTACTGCTTGGAAGATTTTTGAGAGGGCCAAACCCAGAAATATACCCAATGAGTTGGATAATTATTAACTTGGACTATTGCAGCGTAACTTTTTAATTTTTGTGAGCAAACGAACCTTTGCTTCAAGGTTTCATTGCACAATTGACAAAAAATATCATTCATAACTGATAATTTATTCAGTAAAAGAAAAATTATTATTAAATAATAAATTGCTACTTCTGGTCAGACAAGAAGCTATTTGGTATTAACCATAATTTTCCCAAAAAACTTGAATCTTTTGAACCCCTTTTAAGAGCCTTTTAGGGTAGGGTAGGTGCATTAGGTGTACACCTGCCACCGTTTCCCTAGCTACAATTGATCAAATAATAAATATACAAGTAATTTCGTAAAATTCTACAATTTCATTAGACTTCACAAAATAATTTAAATAAAAATGTTCGGCGGGGATCTAGTGCCTCCAGCCAGATGTCCAAAGATAACGTCAAAAGGACAAGCTCAGGATATTCTAGCCCCAGGATTACTTCCTGGGAGTTATGGTCATGTGAGTACATATTATAGTCAATTGATTTTTTCCTCAACAATGATTTAGCATGGAAGAAACCCAAATACGGACTACAAAACGCGTATGTTTCATTACCAACAAAGAAAGGATGCATTTGAACAGCTAAGAGCTGAAGAGGCTCGCAAGCAATCGAAAGAAGACGCTACTTATATGAAATATGAAAAACATGCTAATAAAAAACGGTTCCAACGGTGCATTGAAGATAAAGTCCAGGAAAAGTGGAAGGCCTATGAAGATTCTGTAGAAGCTAGACGCAGAAAGTAAGGATATGCAGCCCTAAATCCAAGATGAATAAAAGTTTTTGTTTGTAGGCTGCACGAGATGATTTGTAAAGAAGAGCGAGAATTCTACTATGAAACTATAGATTCGGCACAAAGGGGCGCTGATAGAAAAATGGAAGAAATGAAGCTACGAGCGCAAATGCTGAAAGCGAATAGAGAAGAGGAACGGTTGAAGATTGTTCATCAAAAACGCATTGAGCAATATCAGTAATTATTTTGTTTCCCCAATAATTCTTGCTATTAAACTTAAAATTATAGAAAGAGGTGTCAAGAGTTACGTCCAAAAATGGCACAGAAACATTTAATGGAATCAAAATACACTCAACTTCAACAGATGAGAGAAAACGAAGCTAGAAGAGAAGCTGATAGAGAATTGGATAAAATGTGGTATCATTTAGCTGTAAAAGAAACTGAAGCTAAGGTATTGATATCTATGTACTTATTTTGTTCAACAAATTCTGATTTGTTTTATATTTTTAGAAAGAAAGAGAAACTCAAGAAATGTTGAAACGTCGCGAGAAAGAGAAAGAAATGACAGAAACGTGGGACAAACAAGTCAAAGGCAGAGAACTTTTACAACAAGAAATTAATAGGATAGCTAAAGAAGATAGATTGGAAATGCAAAAATTAAGCGACCAACTTCGGCATGAGCAAATAGAAGCACTCAACCAAAAACAACAACAAAGAAACCATGCTGCTCAAGAGATTTTGCATCAAATTGAAATACAAAAACAATTACAATCTCAAAGGAAGAAAGAAGAAGATGCTCTTGATCAGGCTTTCAGCACGCTCACACAGGTAAGTAGGTATATGTTTCTATTTATTATATTTTGTCAACTATTGATATTTTGCAGATGGAAATCGATCGAGAGAAAACTTCAATGCAAGAAGAAACCATAAATGCCAAAAAGGAAACTGCAATGTATAGAAAACACTTGCAAAAGCTGGATGAAGAACGCAAACTGGAAGAACAAAAACTTATGGAATTATTGGAGGAACACCGGAAGGCAATTGAAGCTAAACAAGACGAGGCTAAGTGTAAAATTGTCGAGGCTAAACGTAAACTACAAAAGGTAACCATGGCCTTTCACGCCAAAGTTAAATCGTCCAAGTTTTCTCTCATATACTCTCTCATAGGAAACAAAGGACATTCCAAGTCGGTCTTATTCAATTCTGTTACCGTATGCCTTTACATTGTTGTCAGCAAATCGATACATTGTCACGGATTCAGAGTTTACTACTACTGAAACTTTCAGTTCATTTTAGAAAACCGTAACAACTATTATTGAACAAAACTACTAATTATATAAATGTAAGAACGCAGCGCCCGACTCGAACACAATAGAATAGATTCCTAGAATTCGGCCGGGCTGTCGAGGCAATTCCTTAACACTGGCTGCCTGCCTCTCAAATAAGATCGTCCCGATCTGAAAACTAGACGCACCACCTCCTTTTCTATGTCGATATCTCCACTCAGATTCCGTCTATTCATTTGCTCAACATCTTTGTTGAGTATAACAGAGTTTCTTCGATTGAGTGGACCAGATAGACTAGAACACGAAATAACAAATATAATAACTATTTTAGGGTTAGAAAGGGCATTAAAACCAGCTGTATGAGTACATTTAAATCTAGAATAATACGCGCCCGAGACGCGAGGTGTTCATATTTCCAAGTTTGAGCTGTTATATCGGTTAGGCAAAACAATGTGTGCTAGGTCAGGTCGCGGAAAGGGGAGTCTGGCATCGAACAGCGTCGAAAACAGCTGAACTAGTCGTAGCAACTTGAAGAAATCTGAACAATCTTAATTTGTCTAAGTGGACTGCGACCTGAACGTAGCCCCTTAGACCGCTCGGCCGTCCTGACTTTCCAGATCCACCCTCATATCTGCGTGGCTTTTCTTTTCTTGAACTGTCGTCACGGAGACTAGAATAATGGGCAGAATTTCTACCTGTTCCCTGTGGACCGCCATGCTGCCAACTGCCTTTCCTGCGCCTTCGTTAACAGTCGCAGCAGCCGCGTAGCACGCCTCTTCATTCAGACATTCTTTTATGGGAATCCTCAGAGCAGCCGTTCAAAGGATCCCTTTGACCTTCTGGATCAGTAGTAGTCATCCTCCAATCTACTTGTTCGAGGGCTAAGATCACGACAAGAAAAATTCCACTAGAATCCTACTTTCATGACGTCAGGTTGCCTGGCAACCGTCATCATCGTCTGTACTGTACGCGATAAATAATAGGTCGCGGGTGACGTCATGAAAGTAGAATTCTACTTATCATGATCCCAGCCCTGGTCTTTCTTTCTTCCATTGAGGTACTTTCTTCACTTGTCGGATTTTTCTTTTCAACATTTTGTTGATCCATTCCCGGCTTCTAGCTGATCACTTCCCAGCTGTTCGTGACTGCGTTCTTGGTTCGCATTAAATCAAAGCTTCTAACAGGAACTTTTCCTCACTGATCAATTCTCACCAAACCGATGTGTGTTCAAAAAATCATACCATTGCAAGTTCCTCCATCGAATCTATTATAATTCCTCCTCCATTGTTTTCTTTTCTTTTTTTTTTTCTCTTGTATTGACACAGCCCGGTTCTGATCTTTGTTTTAGTTAGATTGTCAAACGAGGTTAGGTGAATCAAAAATTGCGGTTTTTTGTTGATATCTTTGAATGCATCAGAACGAAAAATATGCAAAAAATAATGTATATTCTAGCACCCTTTTCGAAGGATTCAACAACACCGTTTTTTTTTGGGTCATAGGTTCATTCACTTTACCTACTACTGTGGGTTAAAGTGAATCACCCGTTTTAATTTGCGTTACTTAAGACTAATAATGGGTAAAGTAAAGTGAACCAGTTTACACGCTTTAAAGAAGTGTAGCGCCCGCCCTGGTATCACTGTTTAAGATGTTGATTGTTGGCGAGCGGTTTCCAATTTATTACAGATTTTTACCAGAGTGGCTACAGTGGTAGGGTTCGTAATTGCTAGGGATGGAAATAAGTATTCAATTCCTTTGCATTTCAAATGGTTAATATCTCTTTATTTATATAATCAGGTAAACAAACTACTCCAAGACTTAAGAGCTATATATCTCTTAAATTAGTAACATTTTATCAAGTCCTTTAAAAGCTTTGCCTTAAGAGTGCGCTTCTCGATGCTGAAAATCGCGAGTGCGCCTTTGCTATTTTAATAAATGCAGTTGCATCTAGGAAATTTCAACCGATAACTTTTTTCAAGGATATGTTTATGCGCGTGTTTGACCAGTAATTTTTTTTTGATTTTTCTCTTTTTATGAAATGAGAAAAATCAAAAAAAAATTACTGGTCAAGCAAGCACAAAAATACATTCTTAAAAACAGTTTTTGTTAGAATTCCCTAGATGCAACTGTTTTTATCAAAACAGCAAAGTCGCGAACGCGAAATATCTATTTTTTAAGCATCGAGAAGCGCACTCTTAAAATAAAAACTTCAATTTCAAAAACATTTCAAGTTCCTTATTTATTATCAATCTCTACTTTATACTCCTTAAAAGTTTATACAATTTACTAGCATAAAAATAATTCGAGCAGTGAATGCATATAACTAAGAGTCAATGGATAAGGTTATTAATCAAATCTTTAAAGTTCACAATAATTATTTAAGTTCACAAGTTAAGTCCACAAAAGTATTTACCTTAGTATACAATGTTCAATTTTCTTCCTATAGGGGTGTCTTTACTTGTCGTCGTTACGCGTAATTTATTTTACTACCGATCCCGAATTTAAGTGTTCGATTTCTGATAACTACTTCACTGGTTTTCACGATTTAAGAATTTTCTCACTCCGATTCAAGAATTTCCTATTATCGAAACTTGGTTTAGAGTTAGACCGAAATTTACTTGTTTTACTACATTTTCGGAAACTGACTTATTACTCGACTTTAAGATGCCGCAATAATAAGTTAGAATCCGTTCACCTAAAAATCCATGTTACTTTGTGTCAAAGGATGCCGCACGCAATAAATTAAAATTATAATTTTGTCTCAAGGTGAAACGTTGAAGAGATTTAATTAATAAAATAATTTTCTAAGTAACCGAGCTATTTTCGATAACTCGGTGATTTACTCATTCATTCTTGAAGGCACGTATGAACAAGTAGCGAGACACTTGACAATGTTTATTTTTTTTTATAAATGTTACTTGCTATATGCATAACGTAGGTATAATTCAAAACCTGCGCTTGCTCTTATATTACCTAACTGTATCGGTTATTTTGCTTCTTAAAAATTTTCCGATTACAATTTTATGAATATCCTTATTACCTGAATTTATTGATTAGGTTACCCTTTAAAATTCGTCCCTACGTCCTAACAAAATGTATATTTTACCTTAACTCCTATCGATTAAATGTCCCCTATTGATTACCCATATTGAACAGAACTGATTATTTTACCTTAAATGTCTATTGATTTGAGATTGATTAAATATCCCCTTAATAATTATTATATTAAACGAAACTGATTATTATACCCTAACTTTCTAACGATTAAATACCTATGCCCTTATTGATTGTTATATTAAACAAAACTGATTATTATACCCTAACTTTCTAACAATTAAGTATGCCCTTATTGACTATTATATTAAACAACACTGATTACTATACCCTAACTTTAACTAACATAATTACAAAAAAAAAAACTTACTTAATGCCTACTCCTCATCCTCGTCTTCTTCTAATTCCTCCTCTTCGGAGGCGGATTGATCCACCGCGCCCCGATCGCTCGTCGACTACGTGTGGTCCTCTTGGTAGGCTTCGAGTTGCTTGTCCGTTGGCTACTTCTTGGGGTTGTAGGTAGTAGGGGTTTAAGATTGGCCCAGGGTAGCAACGTCCTGCAGGTTGCACGGGAGGCCCTTGTTCTCGAACCTGGCATCCGGGGCAGCGGCAGGGTGGTTGATCACCTAGAGCGTCCATCTCTGCTATGCCTTCTTCATGATATTGATTCCCTTCGCATTTTCCAGCATCGTCGACTTTTCTTCCAACTATGATCGTCGTAGACACTGTGGCATTAGCTTTCAGCTTATTAATTACGTTATTATTAAAATAAACGTGAATTTTTCTGTATTCTTCACTTCCAATTTCGTACTCATACGTCGAAATTCCCCCTTCTACCAGGGATTGATGCGAAACATTCCGCAATTATTTACTAATTGAACTACCTCAATTAGGCAGCTATATACTTGGGTGCTCTCGTATCGCTTTTTCTCTATAACCTGTACATTTTCTTTATGTGTTTCGTATCCGGTTTCAGGGTCCGGGCATGGTTTAATACCTCTCAATGAGATAACGGTTGTGCAGACGATTTGTCCCAAAAGTAGACTCAATTTTCGGTGCATTGTTGTTTTTTGATTTTCTCTTCTCCCCTTGGAAATTTTTCTCTCTTTTTTTTTCTTTTTTTTTTGTTTTATTCCTTTCTAGAATATCAGCTAATGTTCCTTATTCTTAAGACTACTTATTTTCCTACACTATTGGTTCTTACAGTAAAATCTTAGTATTAGCTTAATTTTTTCTATTTACAGTTTCTTTAGGACATAATCTTTAAACCGAGCGGGCCATTTTACGTCCCGCGTCCTCGTATATCTCGGAACTTCTGGGTTATGTTCCTCGTCGATTTCTTCTTCTCCTACATCTTCATTTGCTTGATCGATATCTTCCTCGATTTCACTATCACTATCCTCCTGATGCTCTCTTATTTCCCCCTCATTATGCTGGCGGGCTTCTACGTCATTTTCCTCGTTTTCATCGTTAATTCTTTGGCGTGGAAACTCTCCTACGTAAAGTCCTGGATCTTCTTGCTCTGCTATTCTTTACAGTTCGTGATTTCTTCGGCATCTTCCGGTTGTTGTTGGGGATGCTCTATCCTGTCTTCTAGCCCTTCACATCACATGGCTTGACTCTTTCTGCGTGTGAAGTTTGTACGTTTCTTCCTCTCAACTCTTTCACTTTAAATGTAGTTGGCCCTAATTGCTGAATAATTCGCTTTGGTCCTGACCAGTTGCATCGGAACTTCGGTGCCAAATTTCTTCCTGGTAGTACTGGAT